CCAGGTGCGGCAGGACGCGTCCTGCTTCCTGCGGCTGTGCCGGCACCTGGGCTGTGCGCCCAACATCTGGGCCCTGCACGAGTGGAGCAACTGGCTGACACCCGTGGGCAGGGCCGGCCGCGGCGGCCGCCGCTATGACACGGCTTTCTACCTGTGCTGCCTGGAGGAGCGGCCGCCCCACGTCTCACAGGACGACCAGGAGGTGACAGCTGTGCTGGTAAGAGGGGCTGGGGGTGCCCGGGATGCGGCACAGCCCGGCCGGGGGTGTCGAGATGGGCGCTCCTGCCCGAGACCTTCTCCCACGGCCCCCAGCTCTGCCGTGACTGTGCCCTTGCATTTCGAACGGGCGTAGAATCATAGAATGGTAGGGGTTGGAATGGACCTTAAAGATCATTGCGTCCTACCCCCGCCATGGGCAGGACACCTTCCGCCAGACCAAGTTGCTTCAAGCCCCGTCCAGCCTGGCCTTGCACACAGGGATCCAGGGGCATCCACAGCTTCTCTGGGAAGCCAGTGCCAGGGTCCCACCACCCTAACAGTAAAAACCACCCTAACAGCCTTCTAATTCCTAATCTAAAAGTCCCCTGTTTCGATTTGTACCCATTGTACTCCTTGTCCTGTCACTACAGTATCTGACAGAGTCCCTTTCCAGCTTCCCTGCAGTCCCTTCAGATACTGGAAGGTGCTGTGAGGTCTCCACAGAACTGACTCTTCTCCAGATCAATCAAAACCCTCCCGATAAAGCTCCTTGAGACCTGAGGAAAGGGAAGGGAGTTTTTACCTGCACGGTGCCCCTCTCCCCTGGACACCTGGAGCTGCCACCATCACCAGAGGTGCAGCTGCAGCAGCTGTCGGGAGCGGGTTTTTGTGAGGTCATTGTACATGATCCGTGTCACATCAGATCCCTTTCACCGTGAATTACTGAATCTTTCAAAGGCCATTGGCAAATACCATTTTTTTACATTCATTCCTGCAGTATAGTCCAGGGTTGTCATATCTCCTCAGCATGCTGGGAGAGATCCATACAGTAGGTATATCCAGGTATATTCCAGGACTGCATGAGATGCTAGTAATTTTTGTCTTTTGGAGTTGGAATATTTTAAGTAATATGCAAACTTGTTGAAATAGTCTGGTAAAAATTTTGAAGTTTAGATTTCTTTTTTTTACTTTTATTTGTTTTTTAAAATTGAGTGTGTAAAAGTGACAAAATTCACAAAGCTCTACAAGAGCTCAAGGTCAGGTACATTAGGGTCTTTAAGTTTTTCTAGGATTCTGAAAAGTTTGATTACAAGTCAGAAGTAGATGAGAAACCAGACAGTTCTGTAAAAGCCTACCTAACAATTTTGGTATTACTGATATTGCTATATGCATTTGTTTAACAAATTCTGCTGCAGAAATTTAAAAGTACCCGAAACCTTACTTTCAAGAGTACATGTTGTAATTTTGTTAATAACAGCATAAATCTGCTGCAGACAATTATGCACGTATTATTAAATTCACCGTTTGAAATGAAGATTACCAATAGTTTAAACATGCAAAATTAGCATGAATAGCTGGGTGTTCACACTCTAAAAACAATGCTTCTGAGAAGCAGATGTTTAGAGATACTTTTAATTCTCAAAGCATCAGTGGCAGCCTCTGGTAGTAGTGAGTTTAATGTTTTCTGCTAGTTTCAGTAAACCTTTAGTCATGCCCCTGAAACAAATGTCAGTTTTTAATCCTGGAATGTCTGTGTATAAAATAAAAACTTACTTTTATTGGGAAAATGAGTACCTTTCATAGATTGCTTATGTTTTTCAATTTTAAGAATGTTATTACTTTGGTATAGTTTATACATGGCTTTTATTGTGTTCAGAAGAAAAGGTCTGTTGCAAGCTTCTTTGCTGTACAGACTTCCTTGCTAAATGACCTTTCAGTTTATTCAGACTTTCTATCTGCTGCCGAAACTATTATTTCAGGACTTGTTTTCATTTTCCAGTGGTCATCGCCTCCAGAAGCCATTGAACGCTTTAAGTCTCAAGAGATCTGGTTTCCTCCACCTCAGTTTTATGAATTCTGCAGGCTGTGCAACTTCTCTTCCCTCGGGGAGCTCCAGAAGTTCAGCTCCGCGCGCGCTCTCGAGGGCTGTGAGCGCTGGATGCCGGTGATGCTGAGTGCTGCAGATGGATTCATCCAGCTGCTGCCGGGTAAGGACACACTGGAGGGCTCTCCTAAATATACAGCACCTCCTGAATGCTGTGTGCTGAAGCCAGATGACATAAACCCTCCTTAAGTGTAAGGACAATACTCTTCTAAGTCAAGTTACTGCATGCTGTTTCTACCTTGCTTGCTGCAGTCAGAGACAAGCCAGGGGATCAGACAGCACAGTTATTTCTTAGTTACTCATAATCTCATTGTCTCACCATTGTCATCATATGTGTGTTTGTGAAGAAATTCTGGCATTTCAGCTTTCTGTAACCAGAAGAATGTGTTAGAACTCCTTCTGTTTAGTCCTTTTCAGTGGGAATTCTTTACTTCAGTTATCACTTTGTAAGAAGGGAATCGAGCACATCTGCAGTATCACATCTCCCAGCTGCGGGGATATGGTAGTGGAGTGAAACCATTCACTGTGTCATCTTCCTTCTGCCATTTCTCCTGCTTAAGTCTCATTTCATAATCATGTACATGCAGTGTTAAGAAAAGCTGCATATACTATTTATTATTTTCTTCTTTTCTTAGTTTGTTTTTCATTATGCTTTTTTTTTTTTTTTTGCCACAGAACTGTAATGCCTTGATATGGCAAAACATTTATTTCCTTCAACAAAATAGAATTAAATAAATTTCTGTTCTTAATCCTATCTTTATATACATGAAGAAGTGCTTGTCCTGTTTTCCACCCATTTCATACACTCCTATCTGCCCAGGCTGTCATTATAGCATATTAATAGCATATTATCAGGATGATAATAGAGTGCACTCTGGAACATTCAGAGTGCACTGCAGTGTCACTGACATACTTAAAAGATTTATGGCTCTATCTTTAAATATGAAGGTGTTTAGATGTTTAGATTCAATTTACTTTTGCATTGTGAAATACATTTCCACTGATTTACATGTCCTGATAAATCCTAAAAAATTTTCCAGTGTCACTCAATGAAAAGGCTGAAAAATAAGGTTGGAAATCTATAACAATCTGTTTTTCTATCACCAGGAGATGAGTTATATCCAGAAGATCCAGATTATACTGGAGAAAAGAAAATTACTTTGTCAACAGATAAGAAGGTTGAAGATCTCATGAAAGAAGGTGGCACATTTCACAGGATAGTAATAAAAAACATCAACAATCTTGCTGTCTATGTTAATATTCAAGCAAAATATAAGCATATAAATCCACTGATGATGAAGTGTGACAATTCAGATTACAATAGCAGATTATAATATGTCTTTGGTTTAAATCTAGAATATTTTTAATTGCATATATGCTCACTGTGGTTTTGGTGCTTTTTAACTGTTGCCAAATAGTCACGAGAATGTTCCTCCGTCCTGCCAAAGCATTATATATGTGTGTGTGATGTCACATTTATGTGTATCTGATCTCTTGAGTCTTTAAAAACAGCAGTTATGCCGCTGTTGGGTCACAAAGGTCCTCTTCTCACTGAAAATTTAAGTATGTATTATGTTCAGAACAAGCAGAGAAGAGCTGAAGGATTCTTTTGCTGTGTTTCCCAAAGTTACCCACTAGATAACTGCAGTGTGTGTCTAGAAATGAATGAAATCTCCCATTCCATATTTGTTGACAATTCCCACTCTGTTCTTTCTTTCATTCTGGGGAAAAGCAATGTATATATAGATATATATATATAAGTTAACTAAAATGAACTTTTAAAAAGAATATTATAAAGTTAATTATTATATTTTATATACTTAAATTCTTTCTACTAATGGTAACATTCATTCAAAACTACGATTTTCAAAGGTAGACCTAATTTAAATGAAGTCATCTATGGAATTGAGTGCATTCTTTTTATCAATATATTTTTTTATCTTCAAGTTGAAAGCAATTTAAAAAAATTAAAAAGTATAATTTTTAGCTCCTAAAAAATAACAACTTAAGGAAATAATATCCTCCTTGAACTACCCACTTCCATATTCTAACATCCCACTTTTTGCTTCTTCACTATTTTACTAATATAACTGAGATTTAAGAACTTCAGAGGAAAACTTGCTGCTTAACTTTTGGTTTGGATTTTTGTTTTGTTGGATTTGTGCTTTATGCAGTAAGTGGAGTCAATAGAGCAGTTTTATAAATTCTTTATGTGGGAGGAGAATGAATGATGACTTCAGGTTAGTCAGTAAAGTTGTTCAGAAAGCTTTGTTACAGCTTTTGTTCTGTGTTTCAATAAAAACCTTTTGCAACAATTACACTGAACTGGTTTGTAGCATTTATTTGGATTAAAAAAAAAACTGAAAAAAGGTGTGTCTTTCTCTTCTCACTCACAACATACCCAGGCTGTTGCTGGTTTTGCAGACCCTGATGAGGTTTGTAAGCCTGTGCTGAGCAATGACCATGTGAAGCAGAACACCTTTGGAATATTCTGGCTGGGAGTGACATTCCCTTTTCTCCAGTCACCGGAGACTTCGCCTGCCTGCCCTGACTTCTCCAATGCAGTGGAGAGCACCCTAGGACCCACACTTGCCAATTCCCTCAGATGCATCCCTCAGATGCATCTCATCGAGTCCCAGGGACTTCTCTATGCTCAGGCTTCTCAGATGGTCTTGAACTCTTAAAAAGGAAAGTACTTTATATCCTCACCTTGTAGTTTAGGGACATGGGAAATGTGGGAAGCATGACTGCAGCAAAAACAGCCACAAGTCAAACGTCAAAAAAACCTGTCAGCCCTCTCCATGTGGATTATCACTGAAGTACTGGGGGTGTACATTTGTTTAAGTTCTCCTTTTCTAATCAATATACCTCTGGGAGCTCTTATTGTTTTTTCAGATCCCTTGCTACATTCAGCTCCAACTGTGCCTTAGTTCTCCTGATCCCATTCCTATACCCCCAAGCACCATCCCTGTATACTCCCCTATGGATACATATTCCCATTTCCAGTGCCTGTGCATTTCTTTCTTGTACTTGAGCCATACCAGAAGGGTCCTACTCAGCTTCACTGGTCTCCTGCCTGCCTGGTCAGATTTCCTGTGAGAATTCAAGAGCTTTTGTGCTTCAAGGAAAAGATGCTTAAAGAGCTGCCAGCTCTCTTCTTCTCCTTTATCCCTGAGGGCAGTTTCCAGGAGTTCTTGTCCAATAGTTCCTTAAACAAGTGACAACGTGCTCTCCTAGAACCTTTATTCATCTGGACCATATCCCTCAAGATCATGAATTAAAATACACATTTTTTTTAATATTTTTTTAAAATTGTTCTGCCCTTTATGGTTATTCTACCAGTTTACTTTTATGGTAGAAAGTGTGTGTTACAAGAAAATATTTTGATAAACTATTTAGCACCCAGGGCACTGCAGGACCGTGGATATGGGAATATGGGCAGGGGAGGAGTGCAGGAGTGATGCCAAGTGTGTGGAAAATGCAGAGTTTTGGCACTTGTGTTAGGTGAGGGTTCTCTCTGTCTGGTTGGGCTTACATCTTCCTGCAGAGCTAAGAACTACACTAAGGACTTAGATTAACTTATTTCACACTTCCACAGGGGCAGATACCTATGAACCCTTTCCACTTCTCCATTTATTTCTTGGTGCTACAGCTGTTTTGTCGCTGTATTAGTTAAGAACTACCAGTATTTCCAAAGAGCTAGCACTATTTCACCAGTGCCTCTGCTACAGCGACTTTTAGCCTGAAATCAATCCCAAACCCCAAAGATTTATTGTAACAATTTCCCTCAAGTCCTAATTGAATATTCTCGATTTCAAGTTGTTTGCAGTAACAAAGGGTTTTATTCTTTCACAGTGAGATCGGTTTCCATTTTATACAAAAAGCAAGACGATGGAGTTCCCTGTACTTCATTAGATTTCCTGCCGCGTTTCAGGCGTATCTCACACCGGGGACCAGCCGGCTGTGCCATTGGCCACAAGCCGCCCCTGAGGAGCCGGGAATGGGCCGCGCCGGGCCCGGAGCCCGCCCCGGGGGTGGTTCTGGAGGCGGGAGCGCTGGAGCTTTCTGGAAGGAGCGGAGGGAAGCGCCTTCTGGAAGGTTCTGTGGGCAGCGGGCGGGAGTGAGGGCCGGGCCGGGCCGTGTGTGGAGCCTGGGAGCGCCGGATGAACGAGGTCTTGTTTCTACGGGGAACAGTGTGGTTCTATGGCAGGACAAGGGGAAATGGGGAGTAAAGCGAAGAAGGTGGTTTATAAAGCCCCTGCTGCCGTTGCGCTGTTCCCTCGCTGTGCGGCTCCAGGGTTTTAAGCTGGAGCACGGCTGGGCAGAGGGGCCGAGCTGTGCTCGCTGGGAGTGCTGGCGCACTCCGGCGGGGCTGCAGAGGCTCCTTCCACCCGCTCTGGGTCTGCGTTAATGCAGCACGTCGGGGCGAGGGTTCTAGTGACTTATTTTTTTTTTACAGGTTAAAATACTATGTAGTGATAGATGGGGCATTTGAGCAAGCGGTGTTTTTCCTACTCCGTTCTTAACAAATTGGGAATGTTATTCGGAGCGGATCTGGAATGCTGGCCTTTTCTGTGGGTGTGCTGCATCCCTGCCACATTGATGGGCCATTTAGTGGGCTTGCATTCGTTAACCTGAGACTTCAGCAGAAATTATTTATGCCCTTCACGTGTTACTGCTGAAAGAAAAGTGTGCTCTAAGTGTCTGAGGCAGCCCCGTGTCTCTCGTTACACTGTGTTACAGTGCAGTGTTAGAAACGAGTGCGTAACTCGGGAGCTTCGCTTGTGTTAAATGATCTTGGGTAAAGCTTCTGCAGCCGTTTCAGCTGTTCCATTGTCCTGTTAAACTGGGAATGATCGGTGCTTGCCTTGTCGCTGTCTGTCACCGCAGGGTAGCTGTGTTGGTGCTCAAGTCTGGCTTGTTCAGCAGCAGCTTTGGAAGCGGAAGGACAATGTCTTCAATTTCCTTTTCTGAAACAGTTCATTAGGCACCTAGTTTCAGTGTTAATTCTTTTAAGTTGTAAGTTAGACACTGCAGTGATGACACCACGATGTGATTTCATTTTGGTTTGTGCCAAAATGAAATGCCAGTTAATTTCTGGAAGTTTCATTATTCTGTTGTAGCTCCTAGGTCTGGTATGTACCAGTGCAGACAGCTGTATGTGAAATAATAATAAAAATCTGTGACATTAAACTTGAGTGCTAAGTTTGAGATTCCTCTTTTGCATTATGCTGTGGGATTTTTTTTAAAGTTGTAAATAACTCTCCTCTGGTGTTTCCATCCATTTGGTCGTGTAGGTAGGTTGTAGCAGCCCTTGTCTGTGATCAGCTTATTTTTGCTGGCCTTTGAGTGGAGAAGATGCAGCATGGATTGCAAATCCTAATTAGGCTTTAACAGAGTCCCTCATTAAGAAAGCTGGTTTGAACCCTTTGAAATAGGCAAATCAGTTGCCCAGACTAGTACTCCTGACATGAGTGGTAGAAATCATAGACTTTACGTGTATGCCCTTAAATTAGGCTTTGATAAAAATGGTTCATCAAATGTTTTTCTCTTACAGTAGTGATAGGGGAGACACAGGAGATAAACATGGAAGTCGTGGTATTAAAGGTATGCTGTTTTTTTTTTTTAAATCTGGAGGACTGATGTCTATTTCCATGTGACTTTTTGATGGTCACGTTTACAAAGAAGTTGTTGCCTGTGTATTTCCATTCACCAGCACTTTGCATTTGTGCAGTTGTATTTGGGTTATCTATATTTTGTCATTTGTTTTAGGTTTTATTTTCTTGGTTTTGTTGTAAAATCAGTGAGTAGCTGTGTGAATTAATGTAGGCAGGCAGCCAGAACAACCACAAAACCATAGCTGAAATACAGGGAGTAATTTTACTTAGTTGCCTGGCTAACTGGAGGATCAGGATGCTGGCAGTCTCAGCCCATCCCAGCAGGATTCATCAAGACCCCTGTGAGCTCCCCTGTGCTTTTTATGATCTCTGAGCTTTGATCTTTCTCCCAGCACAGAGTTCAGCATGTCCATGAGAGTACTTCCAAGCCTCTCCAAACACTTGTGTTTCCTTTACACAGAAATTCTACTTCTCAAAACAGCAGGTCAACAGCAGTAGGCATGATAGATGGGTTTTCCCACTCTGATACTCTCCAGGCTTCAGCATTCCCAGCTACAAGGTCACTTCAGCTATTGTACCATTTCCCTCACCATTTTTACACTTGTAATCCCTTCCTCCCAGCAGCAGGAATGCAGCTAAAATCTAAAATGGAGAATGTGCAACATGGTGTTAAATAATGTATAGTATAGTGCTAGATTATACAGAATTTCACAGGAGAGTGGAAAATGCAGAATACAGCCAGGACAGCTGTCTGAGGGGATACTCCTTACTATATGATGTCATGTTGAGCGATAAAACCTGCAGGTATGTCTGTGGTCATCAGATTTGATTTGCCTGCCCAAGTCAGCAGTATTTTGTGTGATGAAGCTCTATGTTCTGAAATGGCTGAGCAATTGCCAAGGGGAAGCAGTGGATACACTCCTTGTGTTGCTTTGGTTGCAGGTGCAGCTCTTGCTTTGGCTGTTAGGTGTTGTAATGTTAGCCTGTGAGTTTTGTGTCTTTTATCCTTCCTGCTGTCTGGTCATCCTGCTGCAGGATGTGAGTGGGGGAGCAGCTGTGTGAGGTTTAGTTGCCTACTGGGATTAAGCCGCAGCAGCTGGGGGCCCAGGTCAGCTGGCACACTGGAATGTGACAGTTTACAAAGGCTTAGCAGAAAGCTGTCACCCTGTTCTAAAGAAGTTGGCTGTCATGCAGACGCTCTCAAGCACAAAGAGAAGCCCCTTGGTGAGGTTTATTGTGTTTTTAGGGGTTTTTAATGTACTTCCTGAGGACTTCATATGGAAGTAAAAAGCTTTGTCTTTGCACTTTGCCCACTGTTTGGTTTAACCAACTTTTTAGGTCATGCTGCTCCCTTGTAGACCCCACATGGTGGTTGTTACAGTGCTAAAGAAACTTGGAACCTGAAAAGCCATTTCATGAACTAATGCTGTGAAGATGAAAGATGTTTCACTTGTTAACATTCTGTATCTTAGTATCAGTGACTATAATTTTGAAGGTGCCCCATAAAAATCAACTTTCATTTTTACATCTCCTGTTCAGAACTATTAAAAGTAAGTAGTATTTGTTCTTCTTGCTCAAGATTGAAGATCCAAGTTGCTTTTGGATTGCTGTGAAAGACTACGTGCCGGGCATAGTCAGTGAAACTGTGTATGAAAACCTGAATGCTGAAATGAAACAGTTTTATAACAGTTACAGAGACTCAGATGCAATAAAACAAGAGGAGATAGAAAAAGGCCAGGTAAGATCATTGTTTTACCTAGAAATAATTTATTATATGGACTGGTTTAGGGAGAAGTATCAAATATATGTATTTTTTTATTTATTTTATTTTTACACAGAAAAATAGATAATAGCATATCTGTGGGGTTTGTGTTTTCCCATCTATAAGCCTTTAACTGTGTAAGCTGCGGGGCTTGCATTTTGCAAAGCAAATGGAAGGCTGTGTAATAAATACTGTGTCCTTGCCTTTGAAAAGCCTTTGAGTGTAATTGGGGCCATTTGCAAGGACCTGCTGTCTTGTTCTTTGTCTCTTCCTCAGGTTTATGTGGTTTTCAGTGAGGAACTCAAGTGCTGGTGTAGGGCACTGGTTGAGTCAGTGTGGTGCCAGGCAGATGGTTACCAGCTCGGATGTTTCCTTGTGGATTATGCCAAGTACTGTTCCGTTGCATCAGAGAAGTATGTGTTAAGAGCTTCTGTCACTGTGATGTATTTGTTAATAGATACAGATGCTATTAATATTTATTTAGTCAATGCTTTGGTTTAATTGAAGCATAGGTTGTGTCCACAAGAAGCTGCTAAGCATATGATACCCTTGAAAGAGCCTAGGTGCAAACCAGTTCTTGTTTTATGATGCTTTAAAGATGCTTTCTATGTTAGGTGTTGTTTTTTAAAGATTCAGAATAGAGATAATGTCAGTCTGTTCTGATTGAAGTGTGTGACTGCCAGTTAAAACTTACCTTTATATTCTTTTCTTCTTTAATAATTTGGTATATACTAGAAGAATTAAAAGTTATGGCCAGTGAAGTTCAGGCACAAAAACCATCTAGAAGCAGGGTTTCTCTTGTTGCAACAGCTTTTGAGGACTAAATAGAAATGTGTGTGGGTTCCCCCACTGCAGTTGACCAACTTGTTTACAAAAAGTTTATCTTGGTGCCAAAACAAGGTGAGTTTTCACAGGTTCTGAGTTTTTGATGAAATGAGTGTAAAACTTCATGTTTCTAAAATCTTGAAAAATACAGTCTTATGTTTTGGAGCAATCTAGTCCAGCTCTTAAAAGTTTGTTTCTCTATTAAAATAGGCAACTTGGAGCATAAGAAACTTCACCAAATTGGTTTTGGTAGTATTCCATAAAATTAGCACTTATTTAAAGTTTTTAAAAATAAACAATGTTCTTAATTTGACCATTGCTCTGTTGGAAAACAATTTGACAAGGTGTTAAATACCATGAAGATACTTAGAAGATGAATAGCAAGAAGGCTTGAAACTGCAGTGGAAAAGGATTAGAAAGATTCCAAGTAACTAAACTAGGATGTGTATTGATAATGAATGAATAGAAAAGCAGTTCTGTTCACCGGTTGGTCCTGATGGCACCTCTTTAAGAGTAAGACAGTGGTTTCAGGGTGGGAGCCTGTGAAATCCAAACTCCTGGTAGAGCTGTGTTATCAAGTTTAGGGTAACAGGAGGTGGTTTGTGAGACCAGTGACTTCTGGAGAAGAAATTCTGCCCTGTAAAATGAGGTAACTTCCACTTTGTTTTGCAGCGTTCGAGTTTTAGTAGGAGCATTTGCAAAGATCCCACATAGAGCAAAGAAGTGTCGGCTGCACTGCACAAAGCCACTGACACTGCATATTGACTACTGTGAAAACACTGCCAAAATAGGGTAAGGAGAGTTTAATAAATACATTCTATTCCTGCTTTTCTAAACTGTGAGGGCTTAGCGCAGAATTTTTTTAGGAAGGATTATATTTCGAGAAGAAACCTGCAGTATTCTCATAGTGAACTCAGAAGTGTTCCAGCTACTAAGAGGAAAAACAACTCTCTCCTAGCTGAGAGGGCAAAGCTGCCTAGGAAAGTGATGGAGTCACCATCCCTAGAGGGATTTAAAAGATGTATAGATGTGGCACTAAGGGATGTGGTTGAGTGGTGGCCTTGACAGTGCTAAATTAGTGGGGGAGTTCAGTGATCTTGGGGTTTCTTTCCAACCTAAATTACTCTTATTTCTTCATATTTTACATTGGGTGCAAGCCATGATACCTTGACAAAGCAGTATCTTCTGATTTTGATCAGTTCATTATATTGGTGAGCTGGAACAGTATTACCAAGACTAAAGTAATGTGCTAAGTAATCAGATTCTGCTGATTTGTCTACGTGGTCACTTTGTAAGAATTTGCATGAACTAGACCTTTGTGCTTGTGTAGATTTTTTTTTATTTTTTTTTTTAATTACTAGTTTCATGCTTGATAATATGGAAAACCTGGTTGTGTTTATTTTCCCAGACCAGCCAAAAAATGGGATACTGCTGCTATCCAGCATTTTCGAAAACTTCTTGATGGTAAATAGCACTTCAGTTATGGGAAGAAAACAGTTGTTATAGAAATGTAGTACTTGTGTACAAGTTTATTATACTTGTGTATACTTGATTATATTTACAAATGCTGTTTGTTAAAAACAAGGAGATAGGAGCTGCCCATATATGGAGTGACTAAGGCACAAATTTCTGTGGAGCTGTACTGAGTACTCTGGGTTTCTGTGCTGCATAAATTTTGGTAGTTAAGGCAAGATTGTGTTTAGGCTAGATTAGGCTTACTGAGGGAACATTCCTGTCATGTGTTTTGAACATTGGAAGCATTCTGTGTATTCAACAACTGACTCTGAATCAGTATCACAGCTGTCCTGCATTAATATGTGCAGAGGTTCTTCAGGATTTGGACTTCCATGGGCTGTGTTTGCCCAAATGAAAAGTATAACAAAGCTGGGCAGATGTGCAAATACAACTTCTTTCAAGAAAAGGAAGTGTCACACTAGGAAAGCACATGCTGGTGCCCCAGACTGTCAGAATCTAAGAGAAAACCAAGACTCCCAGTGTAGAACTAAGAGTGGTTTGTCTCAAGAGGTTGTTAATCTGTTTCAACTCTCAATCCTAATATCTAAAATCAAATACTAAGGACAGAATCCTTTTTGGAGCTTTTTAAGTTTTTATTGTTAAATTCCTTGTTTCACCTAGGTGAAATAAAGTGTTACACGTTTTGAATTGTGATTTCTGCTTTTGTCTGTCTCAAAGTCTGATAAGGGTTTAATCTTGTTTCTTGTGTTTATTACTTCATTTAGAGGCTACCGAGGTTAAAGCCACAATACAGGCGGTAGAAGATGAAGTGTTAGAGGTGTTTCTTTTTGTGACTGTAAGAGATGAAAAGGTAAGATCCTTCTGTATTTCCAACCCTATTGATGCACTTTGCTATTATTTAAGACTGAAAAGCATAACTTGCGAGTTTCGTAGTTTCAATCAAATGGAGTAGAAGCTAAGTCATTAACTTATTAGAGGTTTTTATGACATTGCTGTTCATTGTAAGCCTCTGGAGAAATTCCAGAGGCTCCAGAAGAGGCAGAACTTCTATTTTTCTCTATATGACCTTTTTTTTTTTTCCATTATTGACAAACAAGTGAAGTCCAACTGGTATTTAAGTGGATAGCTATATGCATTGCTTGGTGTACTTGTGGTATCATATTTGAGGATGTTTCACTAAGGCAGCTGCATATTACTGTAAAAATAACTAAAAGTTTACACTCTTGTGTACAGCTGACGGAAAAGACACTAAAAAGAAAGCTGCAAAAAACACCCAGTCTAGTAACACTTTCCAAAATGTGTAACTTGTGTCAAATCTCTGCTGTAGCTGCTGCCATATTTAAGGAGCTGAATGGTAGATACAAGTTTTAGGCCTAATACTACTTTGTTTTTTTTCTGACAGATTTTGATGTATGCTGAGTCAAAAAAAAAATAAACACACTTGACTGAATTCTGAATTAGAGATGTTCCTTTAGATGTGTAGGGCTCATAGAAACAGTTAATTCAGTACAGAATTTTGGCCAGAAACATAAAATTTAATAATTAACACCTGTTGAAAAAATGTACATGAAGATTTGTTTTTAGGATAAATATTTGACAGAAAGCATTCACTGGTACTTCTTATGTCTGGGGTTTTGTGTGGTTGGATTTTGTTTGGGGTTTTTTATTGTTCATAAAAGCACTGCTTTTGTTTAAAGCTTCACCTAAACTCTAAACAAGTATGTGCTAGTGTAGCTTATTATTCGTTGACATTGCTCAGTAATGATCTTGTTTGGGTTTTTTATAGATATGTATTAATGATGATCTGGTTGCAAAGCACTTTGCTCATTACAAGGAAGGTGAAGGGACTGCAGAGAGTTCTACGGATGATTCTGACAATGAAGTGTCGTTAAATGCTGAGTGTGTTCCAGTGGAGTTTGTTGGTCCTACATTTCTTGCCAGGCCGAAACTGCCCTTTGGGGACACGATGTCACCACATCTTGAGCCAGGTGGGACCCACAAGTGTGGGAGAGTCCTACATGGAGCACTTGGTGTGTTTAGTTGCATGTGTAGAACAGGAACCTACTGTCTTGTTTGGATCCCAGTGACTAAGAAACATGTTATCCATCTCTGGCTTTTTTGTATTCAGATAATAAGAAATGGGTATCTGTTTTGTTTATCTTTCTAGGTCTTGCTAGTTGTAATTCTGTTCTTGAAAAGACGTCCCAAAGGTCACACACAGTTCTAAATGACAATACTGTCCCTGTAAGTATGATGTTTTGTAGTAAATAGTGAAATACAAACTAAAGTAAACACGCATAGGCCAGATTAGGAGTGCTGTAGTCATTTATCTTGTTCTTCTTAGACAGCTTTCTCTTTGATCAAAATTGTTGCCTTAGTCAAAGAAACTTCAAATTTGTAAAGGAATGCTGCAAAATATTTGGAGAACCCCACAGTTGAGTAAGAAAACCTCTTTCTACTTTGTGTTTTAAATAATTGCTTTTGAACAGTGTTTTAGTATATAAAACGTGTTTTCTTTCTAGGTGGTCAGCATGGTTCCAGATGTACCTTCTAAGGAAGATAAAGCAGTTCAAACAGAGAGGTGTGGTGCAGCATGTTAAATGTTCTGAATGAGTCTGTAATCAGATAGTTGGGAACTGCAGTATGTTTGCAATTATTGTTCTTAGGCCTCTCTAGGGAAAAGGGACAGGGCAGGTACATACACATACTTTTGGGGAAGGAGGGACTTCGAAGCTGCTGATAGTTACCCAGACTAGAAAAATACCAGTTCTTTCTAAACAGTAGCTTGACAGCAGGGGTGAGGTGGGGAGGTATTTTTCTGCACACTAAATATGTTAACTTGCTTTATTTTATTCTTAGTGTGATTTATGAAGTTTTCAGATTTAATGAAATATGACTGGGTCAATTTGTGCAATGCTTTCACTGTGCTGCAGGTCAGTTGATGCATATATAATAAACCTCAGGAGTATTTCTTCCTTCAGTTTCTAGCTGGTGCAAAGATGAGTTGTTGTATGTTTTGGAACTTTAAGAAACCATTTTTTTTCCCACAATCTGGTCTATTTTTCTTCTAATGTCAGGGAACTTACCAGTTAACTTTGAAAGATATTCTGAAGGATTGTTTTCACTAAATTTTGCTGTCCAAAGGCTGGGTTTTGATTTCTGCTTTTGTATTGAGGGTTTTTCTCATTGGCACAGGTATGTCAGAAATACTTGAGTGAATTGCTTCATGACTCCTGGGAAATACTGGTGGTATTTGTAAATTACATTTTTCTTTTGCATTTATGTTGCATTTAATATCTGTTTCTCAGGCTTCCACAGTTCTTAAATTCCAATTCCCTCCAGACACAGACAGTTGAAGATGACCAGCAGGTATTTCAGGCATTAACTTTCATTTAATTTCCCTTATGCAGACATTTTGGTAGCATTGGATCTTTGTGGAAGGTGGTCAGGGGCTGACTGCAACTGTGTTGGCCTCTGCAGGCTAAAGCTGAGCCAGCCAGCCAGCCAAGTTGGGGATGCCTCTGTGAATTTAAGAAAGGGCAGAAACACGGGGAAGGGAACAAAAAAAAGTGAGAAGCAGGCAGTGCCAGGGTCGGAGGAGCAGAAAAAGCTCCATGCAGATGTTTCTGAAGGGGCTGCAGTCTGTAGAGGACCTGCACTAGAGCAGAGGAGAGAGGAGTGATGGAGGGAAATTGGCATCTTCATTGTGACTGCAGTCCCTGCCTCATGCTGCTCATTGTGGGACTGAGTGCCAGCTGTACACAGAGCATCCACTGCATCTCTTGAGGTTTAAGTCAGTTGTGTTAAGAGCATCTTTGAAAATCTTTCTTCAAGAATGTCAATAATGACTTTTTGTCTCACCCCTGTTCAGAGTTTTCAAAACGCTGGGAAAGAAAAAAACTTTGTGTTCCTGAGCAAGAAAATTGAACCATCATCAGTTTTGGAAACAGCACCACTTTTTGATGGTCTGAAAAAGGTAGAGGTGATGATATTGCATTGATTATCTTTTTAAGACAAGTTTCATACCTCAAGTCTACATAGTAAAATAATATGTCAGTTTTGTTGAGGAATGTGTACAGGGTTGTTCATGTGGTTGAATAAATGAAGCTTTGGAGAAATGTTGTAAGAATTGTACACTTTTTTTTTTCTGGTATATTAGTCACTGATACAAGTGGATTTGAATTTTAATCCAGTAATTTAACAGCTCAGCCCAGAAGATGATTTTTTGTATTACCTGTTATGGACATTTATTACATAGTGGGTCAAAAGCCTTTAAATAATTTTGTTGTTACACTTTGTCTTGTTTTGTTGGTGTTTAAGTACATAGATTTCATGGTTAACTCTTAATTTCTCTTTCTGTAGGAACTTCCTTGGAACAAGCTTTCAGCCTGTACCTTCACTGAGTCCTACTGTTGGCCACCATTAGCTTGGGGATTTGATGTTGTTGCCATCTCCCAACAGGGACATGATCCCTTATTATATATTCCACCTGTTCTTACACTTCTGCAGTTGGAAAGTGACTACCAAGCCTTGCCAAACATGAGTGGAGTATGTATATATTAGACCAGAGAACTTGTTACTACTCTTAATGTTTGGAATGTATATATTAATGACACCTCAGTGCATGTTCATGATGCCTGCCAGTTTCTGTAAGGCCTCTGCTTGGGGGACTTGGATGGCATGTGTGAATGGGGGGAGTCCAAACTTACTTTTAAGGGAATCTTTTAAAGGAATTCCTAACAAGTGGCTCATGCCCTGGCACTTATATATAGAGGGAGCTTTGTTTCTGCATGAGTAGTATGTACTCATTACACTAAAATGGGTATTAGCTGTTTTAAATACTATAATGTATTTTCTAGTTTGTATTAGAGCACAGAAACAGAATTACTGAGGTTGTAAGGGACCTCTGAAAATGGCCCCATACAACCCAAGACAAGATTAAGGTTCTGTACTCCTGTGTAATACTGTGTTGTCTATTTTTGTACCTGTGTATGTAGCCACTAGCATTGATTTTATGTCCTGGATGGAAGAAGGCACAACTTGTTTTTGACCTGCTGAAAACATACAGGAAAGGCTGCAGCCGCCTTCATCCAATGCTGATAATCCTTGGGCAGAACAAGGATGCAGCCAGACAAGTGGAAATCAGAGGCTGTAAGAGTATTTTCTGTCAGTTATGCTTGAAGTTAGGCAGCATGGGCTGCAGTCATTGCAGAAGCTTGTGGAAGAACAATTTCACCTTCTCAAGCTTTTAGTTCATAAAGTGAAGTTGGGGGTTTTGTTCTTTTAAATGGTAGTTTACAACTCACTATTGCAATAAATGTTCAGTACTTTGTGTATCTGACTCAGTACCATGCAGAGGGTGCTCCACAGAGAAGCAGCATAAAAGTAATAAAAAATAAAAAAGCTGTTGGGAGACTTGCCCTCCTTAGATGTATGTACTTAAAACCCAAGGTGTTTTCTGCTTTGATCCCTTTGTTAAGCTTTGGTTGATACTTGAATTTTCAAAACTAGCTTTTGTTACACCAAGGGAGTAAAAACTATGGATAAAACTATGAAAAATTCTGTAAAACTCCATTTCAGCATCATTCATCTATCATTCAGGTTTGAGGCTGGTGGATGAATTCAGACCTTTTAGCAGCAGAGCTGTTGCTGTATTTGCACCAGTTTGGGAGACAGTTGGAAGATTGGTGTGGTTTTATTTCTATGTGTAGATAGATACATATACACACACATGTATATAAATTCCTAAGCTACAATGTGTGCTTTATTCCACTGTTGAAACAGGAATTTCTGAAATTACTCTTGCATATATTTATAAATATTTCTCTTCTGGCTATTTGGTTCTGAAGTTCTTAACTCTGCTTCCAGTACCTTACTGGAAAATGAGATGACATTCTGCTTTGTAAATTTGTTAACCTTCAGACATTTCACTAGATTTCAAAATATCAGAGCCTCACCCACTCATGTCTTGGGAAACTTGTCGGAGTAGAAAAATACAAACTATCCAGCTTCGAGCTGATGAATCTGAAATACAAATGTAACAACCCTTTTTAATAAAGCTACCGTGTCCTTTGGTGTCATAGTAAATAGTAAAACTCTTCCAAGCTGAAAATTAATGTTCTTTCCTTCCAACTTGTAGGTGAAGTAGTAGTGACTACACCATTCAACCTTCTGAGACTGCTGGAACATAACACTGGGTTATTGTGTAGGCTTTGCCATCTTGTTCTTGATGAGATTGAGGTGCTGTTCTCTGACACTACTGAACAGGTAAATGGCTTGTACGGTCACTTGGCAAAATGCTGTTCCAGTTGTGCATGTGTCTGAAACCAGTGGCACACACTGAAGAAAAAGACACCGGAAGTGGGTTTGTGGTGAACTCCCTCTTTTTTTTTGTACTTTTGTATTTGCAAATTACTGTGTTGGCAGGTTGAGGTTGTCTTCTAGTTACCACGTAGTTTTTGCTTAATGCCTCTTCCCTCTCATATCTGCTTTGTGTAGGCTTTTTGTTTTGCAGGTTTTTACAGATCCTTTCCTTGAGAGTTCCATCTTCTCTGGACAGTTAGGTACAAATGCGTATGCTGTCACTACATGTCCTGTTGCTTTCTCTTGCTTCTCTTGTCATTCAAAGAACAGGATAAAAGTATACATACCAAGCTGTTCTTTTGAGGTGTGAAACCTGTAGTTTGCTGTGGTAGCGACTTTGTGACTGGAAAAAGACGTGTCCTCAAACAGTATTTTTCTGGGCTGTCATGTGCTTGCTGGAATATGAGAAGAGGAGAGAAAAAACCTCTTTCCTTCCTAGGTGTTTACTATACTGGATTGTTACAAGAAAGCCACTGCTCAGGCACAAAGGAATCTACCACATCAGATCATTGCTGTGGGAACTCAGTGGAATAAGCACATCACACCCTTGATAAAGGAGTTCATGCATGATCCTCACATTGTGATAACAGTTATCGAAGAAGCTGCCATCTTTGGTAATGTGCAACAGGTAAAAATTTGGAAACCGTGTGCTTGGATATGTGGCTGCTGATGGTTTATTGGAATGCAGGTGGTGCTGCAGTGCTGCTTGAAGTGGCTGTTAAAAATCATGTGCAAATCAGTCAGTAAACGAACTGGAGTGCTCTTACTTTCTTCTATAGGACTGAGATGAAGACAGGCCCTTGAGTATTTCGTGGTTAGTGCAAGTGAGTGTAAATTTGATGAGATGTATTTGCAAACAGTACAGGTTTTGACCAGGATGTTACCAGAGTGGTTTGGCAGTTGTTAGCTGTCAACTGGCAGAGCTGTAAGGTAAGCAGTGTCAAGGGAAATCTAATAAAGTAATTGGTTTGCTTTTTTCACACAATACCAAACTTCTGGCCTCAAATTTCTAGAAGGCCTGTTACAAATTCTTAGGTATCTTTTCAGTTAGTTTCCAGTCAGTGTGGTATACCCCTTAAGAATAACACAAAATGGTTTAAGTTTGATTTGAATTACTCTTGTGTCTCAGAGTGGAGTAGTTAGTGGATTTTAAATGGTGGGAAATCTCCAAATGTAGACACTCTGAGCATGTCAGGAAACTGAAAGCCCGTGAGTTTTTGTGAGAAGCCTTAATGATTGAGCAGAACTGAAAGTGTCAATTTGTGGATGAATTAAGAATTATAGTACAGTAAAACATGTGCATTAATTGCCAGCCCTCTGTTTTGTATTTGCTTTTAGGTAGTGCAACCCTGCATGAACAGCAACAGAACTGCCGAGTTACTCAAAATCCTGAATTTTACCCAGAGGAATCTTCAAAAAGTGCTGGTATTCAGTGACTCAGTAGATGAGGTAGAGATGATTCATAAGGTAAGAAAGTGTTTAAACTTGGATAGATAAGCAGGGTTTTTTTTAAATTTTGAAGTCATAACAAACTAAAATACCTTGGCTTCTGAGAATGTAGGAGCAATGTGAATTTGCAAGTCAATCATTCCTGCTAAAAGTAACCCCAGAGACTGTCACTAAATAGCTGACATAGATCATGTGATACAGGTTTCTTTTCTGACCTAAGTATTAGTGTATCTGGAATGTTAATTCTTCAATGATTGTTAATGGAAGCAAATCTGGTTTGGGGTTATGGCTTTCTAACATGTTTTCCCTTGAATATTTGAGGGTTCAAGCATATGAAAACCACTTTAAAAAGTGCTTGTTGATGTTAAAGTAGGATTGAATCTGTTCATAGTAATTATTGTGTACACCAACTTCAAATATTTCACCTGGCCTATGAAAATATTTCAAGAGTTCACGTAATGAAGAGTGCTTGTTCTGAGAGACTGAAAGATGAATCTGTGTGTTGTTAGATCATGGAATTAGATTAGAAATGACACATTAATCAGGGAAAAAGCTTGACATTTTTGCTTTCTTAAATGTCTATTTAATGTATTAATACATGGGAGCATGAGCTTGTAGTTTTCTTTTTATACACGAAATTAATGAATCTTGTCTCCATTAATACTTTTTTTTTTCCCATATAAGCAACCTAAATTTCATTAGCTCTTGCGTCTCTAGAGTAAGATGTGCTAAATTCTAGTAAGAGATGCTGCTTATTAGAGTTGATTGGAGCAAGTACTGCAGCATTGCAGGGATGTGTAACTTTTCACTCTGCCTTGCAGGTACTGAAGAGCAACTCAGTAGTTTCCTTGAAAAAGCATAGAGACAGCAAATGTAATGCTGAGTGTGTCTTGGAGAGGTGGAGAAAAATGCACAGTTCTGGCACTCAGGCTGTGTTAGGTGAGGATTCTGTGTCTGGTTGGGATTGTATCTCAATGCAGGGCTAAGATCTGCACCAAGCACTTACACTGGGTTATCTCACTACTTCCACAGGGACAGATCCCTATGAACTCGTTCCGGTTCTGTTTACTTCTTAATGCTACAGCCCTTTGGGGATGTTCTTTTCTTTTCCCCTGTTACTACTTTCCCTGCTTGGTCAAAAGAGCTACCATTATTTTCAAAGATTCTCCATCATTTCACAGTTGCCTCTGCTACAGAGGAGATACTAAGTCTGAAATAATTTCCAAACTTTGAAGATTTATTGTAATAATTTTTTGGTAAGTTCTATTAGGTGTTTTTTTTCAAATTTTTTTTTTTTCAGTAACCAAGGCTTTCATCCATTTTCAAACTCAGTTTGTTTTTCATGTTATACAAAAACAAGTAAGTGGACTTCCCTCTGCTTTGTAGGCTCATACAAAGCAATGAGAATTCCTGCACTATTTGAGCTGTCTCCTGTGTTACTCCTGTGAATTACTGGGCAGTGCTCAAGTCTCTGTATTCTGTGATGCTGGCAGGAAAATAGAGAATTCTGTGAGATTGGCATGAAATGCTGTGTCTGCCATATGCTGATGGGATTTATTGCCTGGAGAAATAAAAAGCCTTAGAGGAATGTATTGGGGAAAAATCCATCTTCATCTTCCACTCAGTGGGTGGGGAGAAGGAAATAAACTGTGGTGCATGTGATGTGATAATTCCCATGTTGGAACTGTTACAGTTAGATATCTGTGTGAAACATGTGCTTAGTTTTAACAGATGACTGCCTGCAGTCCTTGGGAATCACAGATGCAACTTGTGTGATCCATTTCAGTTTCCCATCTCCAGGAGTCTTTGGGCAGCGCCTGCAAAGCATGAGTGACAACTTCTGCTCTGGGATAAAGGTTTGAGTGAACCTTGACTGGGTAATGCTACACTGGATTATTACTGGTGGATACAGAAATGTTTTCCAAAATACTTCTTATTGCTTCTAGGATTCTACTGTAGATCAGGAACATATGAAAGCCAAGTCAGTCATTCTGCTGACAGAGAACAGTTCCTGCCATGCACTTGGGATTCTCCGTTATTTAAAGCATGCAGAAGCTGAAATTCCAGAGGAACTCTATGACTTGACTGCCAGGGTGCTGGAATCTGAGGAAAATGAGAAATTTTCAAGGCCCCTGTGTGCTTCTCTTAAAACATTTGGGATCTGCAGGTAAGGAAATGTCAGGGTTTTGTGCCCTGAATGATGACTGCTGTTGATTCCTTGATGAATTTTCCTGTTGGATGCTTTTATCTAAAACAGGTTTTGCTAATGACTTTTTTTTTCTGTTACCTGTTGCAAGTCACTTAACAGTAGTTTACAATTGAAAGCAAGGAGCTTTTTTCTAGACCTGTTATGTCTTTTTTTTAATGTAGGAACAGAACAGAGTGTCCAGATCGTCATCAAATTAATTTATCAATAGACATGGCCCAGAATATTGCAGATGAAATGATAGAAACACCTGAACGTGTGACAGTAAGTTACAATTTTCCTTGGGCTTGGGTGCCAAGAGGACAGGTGTTAAACAGTTACTTAGCATGTGACTTCATTTTTTTTGTGTTTCATTAATCCTACTTGCGGTACAGATATCATTTGACATGGCTATTCCTTATTCTTTTTGCCCCTCTCCCTTGCATAAATCAGTGTGCAAGATGTTCTTGTGTCTTTAGCTTGAACTGGAACTCCTTTCTTTGCAGGTAATTCTGAGTTTACCTCAGTTCTTTTTTCTGCTTTGAAGATTCACATTTTATGGGAAGAGGACTTATGTTCTGTATATTCATTCCCTTTATAATTTGAGACCATATATCAAAATTAACAAAGATGGAGGTTTATAGAAAGTTTGATTTCTTGCAGACAAAACACAAAGTAATCTGTGGGAGTGAGGACAAGCTGAAGGAAGTTTTTCTTAGCTGACATGCTCATGCAAACTTGTTGAAAACTTAGCATTTTCTGGCCTTGATTTTGTTTTCATTCATAATATGCCCAAGAAATGGGGAGCTCCTTTCTTGTAAGCAGAAGATTTATTTCCTTCAGAAATACCAGTGCTTTGGAAGACTCTTTTACTACAGAGTGCTGTTTTAGACTTCTTTTTTAGTAGTTCCATCCATGAAACCTCATGGCTATAAGGTTGACTTTACTACAGTGCTTCTTCACATCCCAGTGTTTGTGTCTCCAGCTCCCACTGAGACTTGGGCTTTATCTGAGGTGCACTCACAGCAGCATTTTATGCATCATTGTGCACAGTTGTGTGTTTGTAGTCTTTTATTTGAGTCATTTTGGTGCAAGAAAAGCAGTCAGTTCCTGTGAAACTCCCTGTAGGGCTGGAGAGTGTTCAGAGTAGAGCTGGAGTGGTGCAGAATGTGTAAGTGGTGAGAAGCCTGGCAGATAATTGGCAGAACTCACTCATGTTCACTGGGGTGGAATACCATCACCTGACACCCAACAGTTCTTGCTCCATACATTAACTGAACTATGAGAAGGTAGGATTGAGAATAATAACTCAGTTTTCTGAAATGTGTGTGTACAGCAACATCTGTCACCTTTTGGGGCTGGGAAGAGGTATGTGATCTATATATAAAGACTTGTTTCATTGGTTTGAGACATCATTCATTTCTCCTTTGGAATCACATAAGAAAAGCGTATTTGATTCTTTCAGATCCTGCCTCTCTTCATTGTACATGCAACAAACTACTTTGGTCGAATAGTCAAGAAACAAAAGGACCAATATACAGTTCTTGCTAAAGAAATAAATGATTACTTCAAGCTACCAGGACATAGGATTTCTGCTAGCACTGTGGAGAAGTCAGTGTTTTATGGGTTATGTGAGGGAGCCATTTGCCACAGGTAAAATTTTGTTGGCTTTTTACTTTATTCATGTGCATGTATTTATACAGAGCTTTTTAAAAACTTGACTGTTGCATAAAGGAAAAAGCCCATCCTCAAAAGCACCAAGAAATAGCTGCTATGCCAATAATGCTTTTAAAAGCTTTTGCCTACTGAGTTCCTGAATGGCAAACAGGGTGATTCCCCACACATGCATTCGGTTACAGAGTGGGCTGTGAAAATACCAGTTTTAAAATGAGAGCAGGTTTAAAAAAATACTCTGCATGACTGGTTACATGAATAATAATTCTATGTTTCTTTTCCTACTATACGAAGGGTTCAGGTGGTAGAGACTCCAGCAAAAGATGAAGAAAATGTCTGTAAGGTCACAATTAAATATATAGATGAAGGCAGGACAAGTCAAGTGAATAGTGATCAGCTGCTTCACTTACCTGCAAAGTTTCAGAGTCTGCCACCTCAGGCTGTGGAAATTGTAGTTTGTAGAGTAAAACCCATAGATAATGAAGTTGAATGGAATCCAAAGGTAATAAGCAGGTTTTGCATGGTATTTCCTTTACACTCTTTACCCTCTCTCTCTTTTCTACAAGAAAACAGTTACAAACTGCAAACTTGGGTACCAAATTGCATTGTTTGCTAGTATTGGGGCAGATTCTAAGAATGTGAGTTTTCCTTTTTGGTTTTTCTATTAAATAATACAGTGAAGTTCATGGGATTTGTTTTTTTTTTTCCTTAATCTGATTTCAGTGTCTTTAAGAATATGTTCTTATGCTTTGGATTCTGGGGTAGAAATGGGGAAAGTGTGGCCCTCTCTAAGCTGACCTGTGTTTGAGTGATCTTTCATTAAGGAAGCTTCTTCCTTGAAGGCTAATACTGTTTAAAGTGTTCCACTGGTTTACTCAAAACTGTATTTATTTAATACCCTTTTCATTGTTAAGCTCTGAAGTTGTTGTGTCATTGTAGTTAAAGTGACTGTAAAGCTGTGTTGGTACCCATACATCTCAAGTGCAGTGACAATTTGTTTCTCCTAGGTGACTGATCACATTAATCACAAAATTAAAGGAAAACTTCATCATGCAAAAGTGATGCATACCTTGGGAAAGACAGTTTGGGTTGACCCAATGGTAGGTATAGAATGGCAGCACTGGGAAATCAGTATATCTGTACATGGTCCAAGACTATTTGACAAAGTTAGTAATAAAAGTGTATTTGGGGGGTTACCAGTGTTCAGTAATTTGTCTTGTGAAGTTGGTTCTGCAGTTGGTCACATTCCTCTGGAGGAATGAAACTTGGATCATCCAAGATGGTTTGATGATATCCAACAGCTCTTGAAGTAGACTTAATTAATTCTGTTTATAATTCTAAGTCTGCTCTTACACTAGTTTGCAGTTGGTTTTAGTCTAAATTCTTCTGCAAATTAAAAAACACTGAAGCTTTTCTCCTTCATTTTCTTGATCAAGAGCAGGAAAAATGGGTGCCCTTGTTCTTGGATTTTTCTTGTTCTACTGTTTAACATCCGTTAGTATCCAGCAGACTTCTTGGTTTTGTGGAGTGAGTCAAGTGAAAAATGGATTGGCATGAGAAAATGATCTAGAAGTCATTCTTTCCAGTAGCTTCTGTTCCCATATATGGTGTAGCTCAACCTTTAACCATTTTCTAGACCTTGGGGTTTTTTACTGTGCCCCCCAACCCCTCAGCTTTTGTCAAGTTGTTGGGGACTCACAGCACTTTATTGCATGAGGTATATTATTGCTGTCACTTACATTGTCAGGGCTGGAACTGTTCACTTAATTGCTATCCTTGTTCTCTTAGGGCAAACAGTACTTGAGCCATTATCACAATACAAATGGTGGCAATACTTGGAAAATGATTAAACACGGGAGGTTCCAATCTGAAAATCATAAAAACCAAATTGCCTGCAGGCATAAGTCAGTAGGGCTGTGTCTGAAGTTTGACTAAAAAAGCAGCTTTAAGTTGGAGAGGGATCATTGAAGAGCTGTACTTTCCCTTAGTTATGTTGTGTAATTCAAGGTTGGGGTTACCAATCTTCCCACAATGAAGATGTGGGTAAATGAGTACAACATTCGATCTGAGATTTTGTCGACGGGTTTGGGAACCGACAATCCTGAACATATAGGAGAAATTCAGAAGTTGTGCAGACAGATACCAGTTTTGGATCATGCAGAGAGCTTGGAACATTTGTAAGTGTTTGCAGTTTTTTTTTTTCAGCATGTACTTTATTAAGAGAAAAATCCTATTTAACTGAATATAATTAATATTACTGACAGTGACTTTGAATGCAGAAACAGTTGTGTCTGTAATGTGTCTACTTCCCATTAACTATTGTTTAGCCCTGTAACCACAAGGAGAAGCAAATTGTAAGTCCAGAAAATGTTAACCTAGAATTTGATTCAGACAGGCAAGTTAGTAATAAAAGTATAGAGTCCAAGTTCAGATTCTGTAACCGTTTATGCTGCTCAGTAGCTGGTTTGGATGCTTACTAGTCATTAAGCATCTGGTATCTCAGGCAAAACCTGTTTGCATTTATTCCTTTCTCCTGGGAAAGGAGGGTTGGGAACCTCTGTGTCATTGCCAAAGCATGTAATGCTGAGGACCAGACAACTTCATTGTGATGCTGTGTTCAGCTGCCTGGATCTTTTTTTTTTTCACAGACGCACCAGGCCTGAGACTGCTGTTGAAAAATTTGGAACTTCAGTACAGGCTTTGTTAGAAAGGTACAAGTTCAAGTAAGGGGAGGCAAAGGGGAAGCTGACTGTTAATTGTGGGTTTTCTTTTAAAACTGCTTTGTCCTGTGTTCAGAAGCACAAAAGAGGACACAGCTGGTCTAGAGGAGGCATCCAGTCCACAGGAGACATTGATACAGGAAAATGCTACTGAAAGTGCTAACGGTTCTGTGACTCCTCCAAGCAGTAAGCCTTCCATCATTTCCAGAAGTTTTCAGACATGAAGTCAAGTTAGGTGTTTGATATCAACCTAACAGTCATCCTGGCAGCTGCAGACTGCTCTGGGTGTACAGAGCAGTACCATGTGGATGTTGGCAGTCAGCCAGAGCTGCCTTGCAGTGAGCAGTCAGGAGATGCTGTGAGAGTGACTCTTGCTACTATAACTGTGTGGCTGTTAGGGGAATGGTCTGTCCTACAGACACTCGGAGCTCTTTGGCTCTGAGTGGAACATGTAAGCAGGAAGTCTCTGCTGTAGAGAGGACAAGAGCTCTGCTGTCCTAGGCCACAGCATTTAAGGGAGTTGAAATCTCTTGAAATAATGTTGTTCTCAGAGAGGGTATTTCTAACCCCAAGATGGAGGATGGCAGAAAATGGTGTTTCCCCCTCCATTTCTTTTTAATCTAACCTCAAGGAAACACTTAATATTCTGTCAGTAGAGGCTTAGAAATGCTTAGGCATAGCAGGGGGACAGGATTACCTGCTAGCAGCTGACACATGAGTTTGTAGCAGTGGAAGGTGAAGAAGTTGTAGCAGAGAAAAAGGCTGGAGTGCTTATTGTAGAAGGCTTTTTTTCCCTGGTAATAGTCACACTAATGCCCTGTTTCAAGCTGTGGTGTTGACACCAGTATTAGTCATTTCATCCCTGGAACTCCCCACTAATTCCCAAAATTAGATGTTTCAGGTGTCAGATAAATAATGTTTTGAAACTGGAGAAAACTTCTACCTGGCCTGGAAAACAGCATGTTTGGTTAGGTTTTTTTAAATCTTCTAACATCAAATAATTATAGTATTCTTGATAATTAAAAATTTTAGTTGAATTACTAACTTGATGGATGATGAAATCATCCAGGAAGTACACAATATAAAGGACAAAGACTGTAATTTGATTGCTAGTAAGTTATTTTATGGTGGTATAGGGGAGTTCTGGAAATACCTGGTTTCTGTATAGCAAAGTATAAAAGATGTTTCTGGATGTCTTCCTTTTAGATAATGTTCTAACAAAAGAAGCTGAAGACTCTACTGTGCATCAGCAGAAGGGGTGAGAAAATAGTGATCTGTTCCCATCTTGCTTTTATGTGAGCTGCCAAAGAGGATTGTTCTGTCTCTGTGGTCAGCTGAGAAGCTCCCTTTGTCTGTCAGAGGTTTTTGCTGTTTTGCTGTTAGCTTTTCCTTTGGCACTTCAAGGGCAGAGTATGGTGGCATCTTGAAGTGAGGCAGTAGGTGTGATTCCTGTGGATATCACAGTCGGTGGAGCATGTCTCCCCATGGAACTTGTAGATGTGCTCCTCCAAGGACTTGGAATGTGGTGTTTTTGTAGGAAGCTTGACTGGTATGCCATCACCTGCTTCTTTGGCACTGCTGCTGTTGTCAGGTCTGCATGGCCCTTGGCTGAGTTGTGGCAAATTCTGGCTCTATGTGAGAAGCTTGGATAAACCAGTGGTTTTCTGCTTTGGAAAACACCTGTTAAATCAACTTTCTTTCAGCTATCATCCACAAATCAAGTGGTTTCAAGATAATGTGACTGTGACACTGAAGGTACAAATACTGAGGGCAGCTGACAGTAAATGTGAGTTCTATAGAGAGAAGGTGACTTTCAGGTAGGTTTAAGAAACTTAGGTATAATCAGCAAAGTGTCTTTGTTTGAATTTATTTTTTTTTAAACTTACTGTATATTGCAGTGCTTATTCAGAAGGCAAACTTTATGTGGCTGACCTGGAGCTGTATGAGTCAGTAATTGCAGAGACGTGCACATGTTTGATTAAGGATACAGAGGCTGTGATTTTACTGGTAAAAGAGAAAAAAGGAATGTGGTGCAAATTACTGAAGAACAAGGTGAAGTGAAAATTAATTTGAGAGTTTCTGAATGTTTTGAACATGTTTGATGTCCATTGGAGTAATATTTCAAACAATGTTTTTGTCAACAGAATGTTCACGTGTCCTTAGATTTTGAACATTGGGAAGAATCTGAAGATGGAAGGCCTTTTACAGTTGGTAAGGATTGAATGAGTTTGTATTTATAGTACATAAAATTATTAGCATTCCTCTTTTTGCATTGGCTTTGTCTGAAATACTCGTTTATTTCAGTAGGTTGCTCACATTCTCACATTGAAGAGAGCTCACATTGAAAAGAGCTGAGAGGACCTCTAAAGCAAACTAGAGACTAGACTTTTCTATCAGCTTAGCACAGACTAAGGGCAGATTCAGGTGGTTCTGAGTATTTTGGTCTAGTTTGTAGTCAAAAGCATTGGGGTTTGCTGGGTTGGGTCTTTTAATAGGGCCATGTATTTGTTCTGGAGCTCATTTTTTCCTGGTTTATAAATGTTACACTTTATTAATCACTTCCAGGTCCTGCAAGACCTGGAAGCTACCCTCCTGCAGGATCTGAGGACTGGTTTGAGTCCTCAGAAGACAGCGATACAGAAAGTGATGAATAATTGGGAAGTGAAATGCCTTTCCCCTCTGATAAGACTTGTATTATTGCTAATTGTTAATTAAACAGTTAGTAGTTGTTGATTGTTGAGTTGATAGTTGATGTAATTGTGGCTTGTTCATGTAATTGTTAATTAAAAACATTAGTGCCCTTAGAACCTGACTGCAACTCTCCTTAATTATAACCTTCACCTGAGAACAGGTACTGGCAAAGCTGTACCTGCTGTAAGGACATTTAAGAGCTGATGTAATCTGTATTTTAGTCTTGCTCTGCATCCTGATGACAACAGGAATCACCTACCTGAGAAAAACAGCTGCAGGCCAGATGTTTTCCTTTGCTTGTTTTGTTCTTCTTTGACGTGTTTAATACCTAAATACAGTGTTTGGTTTTTTGGCTTTTTGTTTTGCTGGTAGATTAGTATCTGATGGGTTATTTAAGAGGTGTAAATTACTTCTAGTTTCTGTTTAGAAAACAAGGCCTATTCTGTGAAATAGAAGGAAAAAGTGGGTTTAGCCATACATACTTGGCAGCTGAAAGCACCAGTGTAAAGAACAGTGTAAAAATACAAGCAGTATGTCCAAGAATATTCTTCCTCCCTCAAGCAGTTTTTGATCAGGGTTTTCATGAGGAAGAGATTTCCTGCGGACTTGCGTAAGTGTAGTTGCATTTTGAAACGTGTTCTGTGAGCTTTTTCCATTATCCTGCACTAAGGAATTCATGATTTTCCTGTGTTTTGAAGCCTTCCCTCATGAGGGCATTGGGTACCCCAGTGGGTCCCTCGAGGAGTGGGTGGAGGAGCAGGTGAAAGAAAAAAGGAGGTTGCAGCCCCAAAATGCCTGACAGGTCATAGGACATGTAAAAAAACCCTAAAGGTTTTCATTTTTATATATAACTATATAAAAATTTATTTCAAAATAGCTCCTCCTCCATTATTGTATATGTGGGTTTAGAATAGTCAACGCTTCTTACACCCATCGGGTTTGAAAACACAACTTTAGTACAATAAAGTGCTTGACACTGCAAGAAGAAAAGATCCCTTTGTGTGCATTGAAAGCACTTGCGGTGCTCTGGGTGTTCTGAGGCTCCTGCGGCCTGTGTCAGAGCTAGCAAAGCTGGGGCTGCCGCCTGCTGGTGCTGCCCGGTTCTGCGTGCTGCGGGGCCGCGGGCCCGGGGCTGTACGGCCCGCCTCGGGGCTCCGGGCCCCCCATGCGGCTCCGGGCCCCGTGCAGGCCGCGGGCGGGGCAGGGTCCTCAGTCACTCGCCGGGGCTGGTGCTGGCTGTGTCCGCATGTCGCCGGCGCTGCCTGAGCCTCCCCTGCTCCAGCCCCGTGTCCTCAGCCGCCCCAGCCCTGTGGTGACACGGGCATGTCGCGTGGTCTCGGGTGTCCGGCAGCTCCTGGGCCGGCGGAGCTTTTGGAGGTAAACTTCTGGGGTTTGTGAGTTTTCCTGACATCACCCAGCCCCAGCCTTTTCAAGGTCCCCAGTTCCGTGGTTGCTATATCCCGGTCCCCCCTCTAAGTGCTCTCCACATCTCCCACAGCTGTCTCTGGCCCTTGGCTCCCCGCTAAGCCGGGACATCCCCGCGGTCCCTGGCAGCACACGCAAGGCCTCAGTCCCAAACTTGGGGCATTGTGTGCACACAGACGGGCAGCGGTGCTGTCACAGCAGCCATTGTGACATGGTGAGCCAAGGCAGCGTTCAAAGGGTGCTGGGTGGCAGCGCGGCCTGCAGTGGTGACGGGGGGCTGCCGAGGAAGGCGCTTGCCCAGGGCTGCTGAGGGAGGAGGGCATTGCCGGGGCTCGGAGCCTCGCACTGTCCTGCTGCTCCCTCTGGCTCGGCAGAGGCTCTCCAAGCGCTCGCAACCGCCCTGGCCCATTTGGCGATGGTGCAGCAGGACCTCGCCTGGGGGGGATCGCCTTGCATCATGGCCTTGGAGAGGGAGAGCCGCTCCCACTTTGGGCCCATCCGGACCCGGCACCTCCTGCGGCAGGAGCGGCGGGAGAAGAAGCCCTACAGCCGTCCAAAAATGCCCCGCAGGACCAGCCGTGTGCCAGCCCCAAGGCTGGGCCCCTCTCACCCAGTACAGTAAAGTCCTCTCATCTGCACTGGGTGATCCCACTCTCATTTGTCAGCCATCCTCCTCTGCCTTTCTCGAGGGCAGTTCTAGGGCATGAGAGCAGTGGATTCTCTTCTTCTCTGGAACTGACAGTGCCTTTTCTCAACTGGCTGGACTGGGGAACCTGGGTGGAGGACAGGGCTCAGCCTCCGCCTGCTGGGCAGTGCTGCTAGCTTTGGGGTGCTTCCTGGCCTGGGGCAAGCTGCCTGGTTCAGTGATGTGGTTCTTCCTGGACGTGCAGGGCTGTTGATGGGTGTAAGATGTGTCTCTGGGCTTGGGGTGTGTACGGGTTTGGAGATAACTAACAGGTTTTGGGGATGTGCCTGGGTGTGGTGGTTGCTGCCAATTAGGGGGGAAACTTCAGGGTTTGGGTGTGTTTCTTCGTGTGTCAGATGCATGTTGCATGGTTTGGGTGTTGCTGTCATGTGTGGGGTGCATTTGGTTTTGGGGTTCATTCCTGGATTTGGGTGATTCAGACAAGGTCTACGGGTTATGTCTGGTTTGGGGATGCTCCTGGAAGCTGTTAAAAGGCTCTGATGCAGTAGAAGCCAGTCCCTGCAGGTGCACCAGCCAGTGCATCCCATGAGGTGCTGGGCACACTGTGCTCTCTGGATGGTGTTCCAGCAGCTCACCTTCCCAGCCATCCCTGAGGAGAGCTGGGCTGCTGCCCCCGGGGGTTCTGAACTTGCCTGCTCTGAGGTGAATTAGTGCCTTTCACTCCTGGAGTGCCTTGGGGTAGTGCCCACCTCACTGTCCGCTCTGCCTCGGCAGATAATGGGGTGTTTCTGACCACAGTTCAATGCCCTTAGACCCTCATTGGGGTCTCTGTTGAGCTCTCAGAGCCACTGCCCTGACTTTCCGTCCTGCTGCTGGTTTGCTTTTCCTAGTGCAGCTGAAGCTCAGGAGGTTTTCTGCAGCGGAATTCCTGTAGTGCCAGGCAAGGTCTCAGACATTTCCTACTGTCACCTCAGTTCACCTTTCACTGTCAGCAAGCACTGAATTGGCACAGTCTGGGCTCCTCGGCTCTGGGATATTCTTGCAACTTGTTTGTAACTTTTTTTTTAGCACTTTAGACACTTTGGAAATCCTCCTGTGGGAGGTATCTCATACATGGTAAAACTGGTTTGAGAATGTGGATCTTGAGGGCTAGAAGCAATCTGATAGCAGCCTGTCTGTACCCTTCGTATTTCAATTGTTTAACAAACCGTTTTCATTCATTTTGATTTTCAAAATCTCTTCAGCAGATGCCCAGCCTACAGTGCAGAATGCTTTGCTTTATGACACATTTCTCTTTGAAGATAATAATTTACATTTATGAAAATACTCTGGAAAAAAACATACAACTTCTTTTACAAATCCACCAAATGATAAAGAAATTACAACAGAGAAATGGCATAATATTTGTTTCATATTATCAGAATTTCTCCCTTCCTCTCAAAAACCCTAATGCACTTAGGGTTACCAATTAACACAACCAGACTTAAGACTACTACAAGTTTTCCTGTAACCATTTAGAAGAGGTGTCAGGGTTTATCTGAGATGATTTTCTGCTTGCCATCTGCTTTCAAGACTGCAGCTGGCAGTTGGGCAGTGGTGTCACAGCAGCCTCAGCTGTGTGTCCAGAGTTTGGCTTTACTACCCACTGACAACACAAAACCCTATCAAATCTCAGGCTGGAGCAGTGTTGAGACAAAATCAGGTAACATAGCATGGGATGTGTGTGACAGCTCCATATCCTGGGGAATTGGTAGAATCCTGGTGAATTTTCTTTACTACTACAAAGAAAAACAATATTTCTGATAAATTCTACAAAAATACTTTATTGGAGTTTTTATTTTTCCTCAGGCTGACTGCTGAATTATGTCAGGGAAAACAAGACTTATTAAAGTCAGAGAAGTTAGTGCAGTATGGACTGCAGTAAACTTATTTTTAATTACTCTGGAAAATCTTGACCTGGTTCTGATTTTGCTATTAACAATTAACATAGTGGCATTTTACTTGTGAGGGATTTGAATCCACCTTGTATTTTCAAATAATTTAAGTAATGCATTTGCATAAAGAAGTACCATAGGTCATTCTATAGCCCCTCTTATTTCCCTTTCAATTGCTGTCCACTGTTTATCTGTTGATCTTGCTTTTTTTATGTCTCTCTCTGAATCTGTCATGCCAGTGAAGCACATCACATCCATTTTGCAGCCATGGCTTTGTTTCCTTGGTAAGACTGTGGGAATTCTTCCCCTATGCATGTTTCCTACAATTCAGTGAACTGTTTTATGGACCTCTAGCTAATTCTTGTTCTGCCTGAAAATCAGTTTGAATTCAGTAAGAGACTACCATTACATTAATTTACATTCCTGATATCTGCTGATCCTGTAATTCAGTAACAAAAAAACAGTCACAGTTGCCTAATCTATTAAGTTAATTTTAAGATGATCTAATTAAAAAAAAAAAGCATTTATTGAAGTGCAAATTAAAGGCTGCAATGGATTTCATTTCAGCTGGTACATAATGACCTGGAAAACACTGCGTTGGTAAGTGTCTTTCAGACAAAAAAAATTCCAGTGGCTAGAATATCATGCTGGCACCAAGGAGCTGGACTTTCAAAAGGGCTCAGTTATTGAGTGTTGAGCACTGTTGGACCTTGGGTCTTGGGTCTGAATATACTCCTTAAAACTTGGTCATGAGTTGCCTTGAAGGTCTTGCTTTGACTGCACACAATGTTTGATTTAAGGTGTTGACCTTTTCTTACTGAATGAGAATATATATATTCTGTGGGTTTGAAGAAGGACCAAAGGGAGAGTTACTTCCAAAAATAGTCTGTGCTTGTGCAGCCTTTAAAAATGAAAAATAGATCATTTAAGAGTAATGGCTAACAATGTGCTCTCATTACTCATTTTTAAATTGCTTTTCTTGGCACCAACATTTCTGTGCTGGACCCCCTATTCCACAGTTGGGAAGAATCCAGCATTTTAACTCTTTGATCAAACTCATAAAACTCTTCACAATTATTCTGTCTTTGATGGTAACAAGAAACTCCCAAAGTATGTTAATAAATATCTCCAAACACACACTTTTGTGGCCCTAAGCTAGACAGAATCCTTTAATGGGGATCCTCTGCTACAAATATTCAGTGAGTAGCTGGAATACACAAATGTAGCATTGTTAGAGTGTTAAAAAGCAGATCTCAGCCCTCTCAGCTAAAGATCATATTCCTGAATGTTTTTCACATGATTCATTAGCTCCTGACATCAAGTGTCATCCTTTTGGGAGAAGAGCTTGGTAAGGCACTGTTTAATTTTTCCTCAGTAAAAGTCAGCTGTGTCTTGATCTTACAGAAGAATGAGGACCCAGCCTTGTTTTGTCACACAAGAGGGAAGCAGAGATGTCTGTGGGGTGTAAATACTCTGCCAAGCAGGGGAGTGGCAAGAAGCACAGGTAAGAGAAGCAGAGGTTCTTAACTGCAGTAAAATTTACTGTACCATGACAAAAAGAAGGTATTAAAATCACCTTTTAATACTACCTGGTTGACATGAAAGCTAAGGGAGACTTGTGATCAGTTTTCTTTCCTTTTTTTTTTTTTTTTTGGTTTGACCACAAAGCCAGATAACCCATTCTTCACCCAGTTCTACTAATGAGCTTCTTTCTCTGAGGTTTTGTACCCTGCACAATGGAGAACATCTGTACCTAGAGTAAAGGTTGACATTTCCCTGCCTATTCACCAAAGGCCTTTTTCTCTTCTTTCAATGCAACACTACAAACTCAATGCCTGGGAAAGAAAACTGGCGGGGTCTCCAGAACATTCTGTTCTGATCACCTTCCCTCAATATTTCAGCAGAATTACCCAATTCATATGGTAATCATTTCCTTCTAATCAGTGTTTCCTATGTAACGTTGTTTATTCACTCCTACTTATTCCCACTTGCCAAGAAAGCCAAATGAGACTATTGGGGGCATTTGTCTTTCATGACTCTAAGAACAGATTAATCATGCTGACAGCATGCTAACAAAAGGATGGTTTTAATTAATTAACACTTATAAATAATTTGTTAAAGGTTACAGAGTGCTTAATGTATTCCTTAGTAGACAGTTCTTACATGGAGCAGCCAACCAATAAATTGTTTATAGCTAGAAAAAGCTTTTCTGTTGGGCTTAGGATACTTCTCAACCTTTCTGAAAACCAAGGGCCACCTACTATCCTGAGCAAAATGCTGATTGCCTGGTCTTGTGGAAATGGAGTATTTTGTACCTCATTGCCATAATGTGTTTCTTATGAGTTTATTATATTTTCATTATTCACACATATCATATCTCTTTTTATTTTGCCTTGATTGTTTGGTCATGTGCATAGGATTGATTTTTTGAAAGGGGACAGACCATTTTGCAGCCTACTTGGTGGTGTCTGGCAAATCATCAGAGTTCAGGTCAAGGAATAGTGGTTTATGGTATGCACTACTCAGGTAGGTGCTATTAGCAACTTCTTCGTTAACTCTTCCTAGAAGTGCCCTCATTGACTTAGGTTGTAGTTATTAACATTGCTGAACAGCTGCATATACACACATGTGAGCAGGTACAGTTTATATTTATGAAGAAACCATCTGATTTTATTTTAACCGTAGAAGAATTTTAAGTTTCATAGGGCATCTAATGAAGACTGAACAATCTGGATTTAAAATTCTGAAAAAAGGGAGCAAAGCTTGTCCCTGGTGGGCAAGGACTACATCAAGTCTCCTAACGCCCCTGGTATGTTAGCAAGATCCAGTGGATGCTACTTAATTACTATATATTGGCAAATACATTTAATATTTTTTTATATAAAATTATAGTGCTGTGCAGGCAAAATTCTGGGAAGGTTTTTATGCTTATAAAATTTCTATGAGCCCATTGCCTTCTGTTTATCACAGTGCTTCTACAGCAGAGGATAGAAATAAAAGCAGAAGATGTTTTCTTCATTACCTATCTCTGATCTCAAGAGCTCCATGTGCATTCCAGGATTCCGCAGTGTAATCTGGGCTGATCCCAAGAACTCAGCTGGATCCTCCAGAAGAACCATCCACTGTCACAGAGTTTTTATAAGCAGTCTCAAGATGATAAATGTTTTCTTACGGGATCACCCAGAAAGTATTATTTAAAAATGAGATTTTTATGTGATAATTTTACACCTTGTAGGGAAACTCCATGAAGTGGCTCATGTTCTTTACAATGGGTTCCCCAGAAAAACAGCCAATGAAAATGTAGTCCTGTGCCAGTTAAACAAGGTGAATTTTCAGTTTGACTGTAGCTGTAGGGATATGCTGAGATATACTGGTTTATTTCAGGGGTTAAGAAGCCATACAGACTTTAAATCATGTACAAATATAGGTAACAAAATTTTTACCCCAACCTTGGCAAATGCTGGTAGATTTTGAAAGAAAATTTTATATATCTGGGCCCTTTTTGCTGTTCTATTACAACTCAGGAGTAAAAGAGAATTCAGAATCAGGTTATTTTACAAATACATTAAGTGTTGGAAAATTAATTTAAATAAAACACATTGCAGATGCCTTGAGTAGTTAGATCTTATACAGCTTTTGGGCTGTATTACTCAGCAGGGATCCAGATTTTATCCTGTGGCCTGTAAGTACAATAGTAGGAAAAAAGTGCCCTTTTTGAATCCTCAAGAAAACTCCTAGGAAGGAATGGCCTTCACATACATAAGCTGTCAAAAATACTACAACAGTTAAATACTGGTAATTGCAAATTTATTGCATAATTTAAGAAAACCTTGCACATTTAATAGATAAGGAATAGGAATTATCCTCCAAGCTGCAATATATTTAAATATTTAAACAAAATGAGAGAAACTGCTATTTATGACATGAAGACAAATCTCTATTGTGAAGTTCAGAACAGCCAAAATCAGCCAGCACATTTTGCTTCACTTTCAAATGTTAGGTGTTAAATTGGAACATTTGCATGTGCAACACTCAGGAGAGTGCCCCTGGGGCGTGATGCCCTTCCCATGGGAAGAGGTGGGTGAGTGGGAATGCTGTGCCAGGAAGGAGCTCCTGTCTCCCTTCCGGAGCTTTCAGGAGCTCTCTGTGAATAGCAGAGCTGTCTGAGCCTGCAGAAGACATGGCTTAGCACAGCTTTACACAGCAGTGTGATCCAGTCCCAGACTGGCTTCTTCTATGGGAATGTTCCAAATGACATCTAATATTTAACCATAATTGAGACATTTAGAGGCAAACATGTCTAGACTAACTGATGTTTTGAAACAGCTAGTCTCCCTTTTTTCTAGCAATGTGTCACTGTGAACTGCATGTAGTTAAATAATTACCATCAGATTTTTCTCTTTCATTCAGCATTCTTAACCCATAGGTAAAACTCTTGGCCACGAATTAATCCAATTAGACTCTGTAAAGCATGATGGTTGTTTTTCACAGGAGCTCACATAATCCCAAAGTCTCTCTTAAGCTTTAGAACTGAGAGGATCCTTACTGCTCATATTGGAAAAGGTTACCATGCAGCAGTATTTTCTAATCAAAGTACAGAAATAGGAGGTGAAATCCAGCAACCCAAAGGGTAGGCTGAAGTAATATGCCAAAATATGATACAATGTAGGCCGAAACATAATATGTATTCCTGTACATAATGAGAGCACTCACTAAACATTTTTAGCATATGAATAGAAAATAAATTAAAAGAGAAAACTTGTGTTTCAGGAAAGAGTGAGTTCAAGGCAGGAGAGGGATAGTTTTAACTCGCCACTCTCTAAGTGGGAGGTGTTTTTAAGCAAAAGTGTGTGTTGATAACCCGAAACCTGGCCATGATCTTTTGTGTATGTAATTACGGGATCAGGAATTCACAAACGTATCTCTTGGCAGTGCGGCAGACTTCATCCACCCACTTGCCCTGGGATGACTGAGACAAAAAGACACAGTTTTCACGTTTGCCCCCGTTGGGCTGGGCACGGTCCCAGTTGAAGTACTGCAGAGCCATGCCATTGACATCAACAAACCTGCCTTCATTGACCATGTCAGTGACACCCAGCCAGAACTCGGACACAGCGGGCACACTTTTCTTGCCATAATCCCGAAGGATGTTTGTCTCCTCGTTATTCCTCGGAATAGCCAGTGTCCCCCCCTTGGCTATGCAGTCTTCATTGGCTTCATGGAAATGTTTGGTGCCTTCTGACATGAGATAGCACTTCTTGTGGGCCTTGGTCCCACGAAGACACACTGTGAACAGACAGGAGTTTGCATGTTTAGTACAAGTGTGGGCCTCAGCTTTCAGTAATGGTTGTCCAAACGATAATTTTCCAAAAGCATGTTGAAACTTGAGTAGACAAATCCTTCAGCAAGTGAAAGGCTCTTGACTCCACAGACTGGGTCTGAAATCGGAGTAAAGTCAGACTTACCTGCTGGTGCTCCAGTTCATGTAGGACCCTGTGTGCAGCCAGCACATCAGCATGCCTTTGGGAACATACTGCTAAAATATAACCCAGGCCTGTTCTCAGTGCCCCTTTTAGCAAATAGTCCTGCTTTCATGCTTTTCTACCTTATTTCAACAGTCTTGAAACTGATGGAATGGATGAGGTGTGGATGTTTGTTTTGTTGCCAGGCATAAGTTGGTTATCAGGAAATCTTTATTTGGCTTTATAGTGGACACAGATCTAAATGTCTTTTAATATTGGTGATATTTAAGTAAAGTAAATTTTTACATCTTATCTAAGCTCAGTTTCCAGCAAGCAAAGGCAGGACAGAAATGTGCTGTATTAAATGGGTCCTACTGACCAGGAAAATACTGATTTGAAATTTGTAATACAGATGTCTGAGTGATTAATAAAAGTGTAATTCTGCTTGTAGAAGATTACATATTCACCTCCTTTAGCATTAATTTATTTTCTTTCCAGCAAAGTCTCCTCTTTCAAACTCTAAATCCAGATGAGGTAAAGTGACTTCAATCTATAAATGCTTTAAAAAGGTGTACACTTATTACTGAGCTTACAGGACAGTCTGGACCCAACCTTCTAAACATTTGAATTTTTAAATATGTTTACTTTTACTTCTGCTAGGGAAGTCTTGATATAAAGTCCAAATGGACCAGAGGGTTAACTTGGCAGCTGTTCTGTCACTGGAATTGCCTTGCAGAGCTGCTGCTGGGTTTCTTCCAGCCCAAGGTCTGTGGGGGCAGGAATACAGGAGGGAATCCTTAAACTTTGCCTTCCAGCTCTCCTAATGCAGGTTTGTGAAAAACTGATTCTTCCAAGAAAAATAATGATGGCAAGATGAGCCCTTCTTTGTGGAGTGTTTCCTCTGAGCTGAGGAAGGTACCAAAGGCCTGGAATAGACTCCTGCGACAATTATTTCTAGAATCCTGCATATTATTACTTGCAAATTATTTCATTTATTGCTTAAGTTCATCTTGTACTTCTGTACATCTTCTGTCTTGATATTTTCTATAATCTGGTTTTAATTCCTGTCATCTGTTCTTGTAAAAAAATAATTATCTCTCTGGTTAACAGAATATGGAAGTCTTTGGACCACATCCTATGTCTCAAGTTTTTAGTATTTGCAGTTGTAGTATTCACTGCATTCCTTAGCTACATTTTCAGAGTCATAATTTCCTATTAGAGTTTAATCTTCAAATTTTAACCCTTCCAATGGCCAAAGTAATGAACCTATTTGTTAAATGTGGAACACTTTAACAAACTTATATTTATGATAAAGATCAGAGAGACTTTACTTCAGCAATGCTGCAGCAATGATAAGGACCAGATGTCTTTAGGGAGAAAGTATGTGCTGCAAAATGGTGTGTGGCAGCATTTTACATTTCACTCTATGTAGAAAGGAGGCCCAGGAAGTTCAAGCAAAAGAAGAAATCAGATTTTTAAGGTGTGTCCTGGAAATGTCCATAAGCTAAAAATGGAGCTCCTTTTTTCAGTTGTTACAGGACATTAACAAAGACACGTCAGAGCTAGGAGGGTGATAGGTGTCTTTTTGCCAAATATGGATTCCAGTTACACAGTGTGGTTTATAAATTTAGAATAAAGCTCAAAATAAGTTTTGAGGAGAGAAAGTCTCCCAGTTCTGGTTTAATTTCTAAGCCACTGCATGCTTCCTCTCAAGCTCCTTCTGGAAGCAACACAAGAATTACTTTTAAACAAGAGTTACTTGTCTAGCACAGGATCCCTCTTTTAAGAAACTTCTAAAGCCTTCTTATAAGACATTTGAAATAAAAATACTTTGTAAAGCCCAAAAAGCTGTATGTAACCCAAGACACAAAACTGAATAACCAGATATTGCCATTCCTAAGGAAAATATGTTCTGTTTCATGAGAATGATGTCATTTCCTCTGTAATGTCCTCTTGTACATGTTTAAATGCCAGGTTTTGTGTCAACAGCTGTGAAAAAGCACAACTGTCTAGTAGGGACATGTGTATTTACCCTTGTTATTTTGTTTGGAAATTTCCATCTGGTTATTTCAGTACTTAAAGGACTCTGCACATTAGTCCAGAATATTTCTGAACTCACAGTGGATATAACTTTGAAGTTTTATGGCAACATACACATTTGAATATATGTTCATATCAAAGCTGGGCACTTAAATCTCTGGCCACCTAAACTCTCAGACCCAAGAACCCTCATTGTGCTGCCTTTGATGACACAAAGCTCAGAACTTGAAATTGTGCATAGCAAAGACAAAAGTAGTTCTTGCTCTCAGTGAAGAATCACCACTCATTCCCTGTTAGCTGAGACCTGATTTTACTTGAATGCTTCCTTCAATACTTGTTTGTCTCAAAAAGCTATGGAACGCCATGGCTTTATGGAGCTGTGATCCTCAGTCATAAAATCCCATTAAAGAGAGGGATGGGAGTGAAGAAGAGAGGCAGTGAGAACTTTTGGAAATGACTGACCAGCACAAGCTGCTTTACCTGTCTGGAGTGCTTGTATTTCCTTCAGAGCATTTACTTCTCGCCACAGTTTGTCAATCTGGGTCTTCAGGTCATCTTTTTCTTACACAAAAAGAATATACAGAAATTAACAGATATGCACACAGTAGAACAATTAAAAATCACATGTTAAAAGCTGTTTCAAAATATCATGGGTTGCTGCATTGCTTAGATGCATTTTGATTATTTTCAAAGATTTGTCCTTAATGAAAACATTCCTCTAGATTTCCTATAAAAACACAAGGAACACATCTTTACCTTTCCTTCTCATATTTTATCATGGATGTTGCCTTAAAAACTGTTTGAAAATCATGGGTTGTTGCAGCTGATCATTATTTAGTGATCTGGCATCTATTTTACAGAAAATGTCCTTTTTTCTTTTGAACCTGTACACTCTGGTGTATGGACATGACATACAAAAAATAGGAAGACACAAGTTGTTTTTCTTTAAAGAAATGTTATTTCTGTGAGCATGAAAGTTTCACAGAACTCTTGTTTTAGCACAGGGAGGAGCAACAACCAGACGTCTGAATGTCAAGATGTGCTTGCTGAACTGCAGTCTCTACTTCCCAGGATCAGCCTTCCTCTGTCCCTCAGTACAGAGAGGGCCTGGGTACTTGAGTCACACAAAATCACTCTGAATCAGCATTTGTAGCACTTAAAAAAGCACCAAGAATATGATGGGACAAGAAAAGAAGGTAATTTGCACATAACTCCATTTTCATGTCTTTTTTTTTAAAAAAAAAAGCAAAAACCACATTATAATGTCTTTCAGGGCTCCCTGCTTTCCCAAGGCAGAATTCTCTGTTCTCCAGTCAGTGGTACTCTGTGCTGGCACACAAAATGTGTAAGCAGCCTGTGTTTAGGAGCCCTAAGAGATTTAAAACCCTAGAGATCCCAAAGGATGTGTCTACAGCTGTGTGGCTCCAGAGAAGCTCAATCTTCTTGTACAATGATTTTATCAAAGCAACAGCTTTTTAATTAACAGGGGTTCAAATATTTGCCATTAGTGAGCCACCATCATACGTGCTTTTATTAGAAATGTCTTTAAATTAAATATGCAGACATTTCTAAACATTCTGTGGTTTTGTATTTACTCTGTAAGTTTTGCTGTGGGAACTGGTGCTTTATCTTCTCCTGCTAACTCTTTAATGTTGACCTGCTAATTCCACAAAGAGTAGACAGACATTCTGTTAAAATTTGGAAATGGTACAAAAATCTGAACAATAATCCTTGGAGCCTGAATACTTCTGCTTTTTTCCTCCATATACATGAATTTCCATTTTTCTCATCTTAGTCAATATAGCTACATAACTAAGAATGATCAGCCAGAGTCCTCTCTCAGCTGTACCTGTGAGTTCTAAATAATATTCACAGAGGTGAACAGCCAGAACAGAGTGATATATTTGCAGCTGTTATACAGCTCTATTTCCATAATTCATTCCGGCACCTTATTTGTGGCTTTGCTAACTCACATAAAAATACTTAAAAGGCAGCTATAATATAGACTCGAGTGTCCTTTATAAATAAACATTTGTGTAATGTTAGTTTCTGGTTCATGCAATGCTATTTAAAGTGCACAGTAAATTTGCATAGTCTATAAGCTTCTATCCCTCCTCCCAGTTCAGACCCAGTACCTTTCACTCTACGTTTGCTGTGCTTCTTGGCTTTGAATTTGGAAGCCTGGCTGACGGTCTGATCCAGCAGTAGTAAGCTTATGAGTAGAAAAATCATAAGTCCAGTTTGTGCCATGTCTCTTTGTAAGACCCTAAGAAGGAGCTTGAAGAGATTGCCTGTAGCAGCTCTGTGAGAGGTCACCCGGACCCATCTCAGCAGGGACTGCCTGAGGTCAGCTTTATAAGGTGTGGTGGCAGGCTTGGCTGGACTCCTTGCCTACGAAATGTGTTTAATGCTTTAGCTGGCTGTAGCATAAGACACCCCCTTGTTCTCACATCCCATCTGAAGCTGCTGTTTCCATTCTGAGCTCAGCTGTACCAGCCCTGAACGCTGCACTGGTTGCCTCACCCGTAAGTGCCACATCTCCTGTATTAACACTGCAGCCAAAACCTATGGAAAACCAGACGGATGCTTGTGCTCTGCCAGCCTCCAGGAGGGGCAGCCAGAAAATTTCCACAAAGTGTCAGAGGCTCGCCCAGCATGGCTCTGCCCCAGGCTGGGTAAGTCATGACAGTGGCCAGCACCTTCCACGGAAGCAAAACCAGGATGCTGCTCCAAATGCAAACATTGCAACTACAGACCCACACAGAGGATAAATACATTAAAATCACACTATGTGAGGGATGCATTTATTGGCTTATGAAGAGTTAATAAATGCCTGATAGATATATCTGCATTTCTGGTTGAGAGCAGCAATCAGCAGGGTCTAGTCAAAGGAGCAAAAGGTAGCAACGCTCTCCCAAAGGTTCCCACATCCTGACTATAGGGTCAGAAGAAAAGTAAAACTCAAGGTGCTTGAAGCAGGACAGTGTCTCCCTGGAATCTGGAGAATTCTCTGAGTTTGAATCTCTTTCATTTGCCTTTGGGCTCTATGGACTTCTGTGGGGCTACCTTTAATTGGGATTGCTATATGAAGTAGAACCTCTCTCTGATTTTGGTGACCCAATGAAATTACCACAAAAATATTCCCATCCATCATACTTCTTTTTTCCTTTTCTTTTTCCCCCATTAAAAGAGGGTTTGATTAAAATGTGGACTCCAAAGCCATTGCTGGGTGCTGGTTGGTGCAGTTCATGTCCTTCAGAGCTGTTCTTCCTGACATCCCTTTGCCATCTCTGCCTTGATTACGTTCTGCTCACATTGCTGACATTTTTTGGTTTTTTTTCAGGACTGTTTTATTAAAAGAAAGCTGGGATTTAGGAACATGCTGGTGTACTGCATGAATACTTACTGGCTTTTCCCAACTCCCACTAAAGCACTTCAGTACTTTCAGTGCAAACCACACCTGCCCTGTCTGTCCTGGACACCTTTAAACAACTCCCTGTATTCTCATATTCTGTAACTAGCAAACATCTCTTAACCATTAGCTAAATAAACTTTCCATAAATGCATTCTTATATGATCAAACTTAGTCCCAGCGATCCTTCTCCAAAATATTGAAGTATTAACATACATTGTGTAGGAAAACTTCTGGATCAACATTGCTCAGTCCTCAGAGCTGTTTTGGAGCACAGAACACCAGAGATGGCTGTTGTGCATCCCACCCAGCCAGGACTGCCCAAAAAATCTCACACAGATGCAAATTTCAGTCCATGGTAAATGTGGAAAGGGCTGGCATCCCAACTAGCACACCACAACTGAAATGTGAGCTGGCTGAGAGGAAAATAAGGAGCTTTGCAAGGGTCTAGTTCAAGATTTAATCTGTCCTTTAGGACAAGCTCTAAATTCAGGCTTGATACATACTTGATTCCAATAGTATTGGGGCATCAATATAAGTTAATTAAGGGCAGATGGCTGAATCAATAACTGCCTCCAGTTAGTTTTTCATGAGGTGCCTTCTCAGATATTGTGGAACTGCACATGAAGCTGATCCTGAACCATTGCAGCTTTCAACCTGACAGATTAAACTGTGCTAATTTCAGGTTGCCTTGATAAGGCAGCTGCAAACTCCTGGAGCTGTTTCATGTGGAATTTAACTGTCCCACAGGCTTTGGGAGAGGCTGGAGCAGTAGCTGGGTCAGCAGGCCTTTTAGTGTGCGTGTTCAAGGTACCAGAATGGATTTGTTCCTGCCCCTAGGAGCTTGAGCTTGCTAAAACAGGTTCCTTTTCTTCCTGTGAAATGAGTATGACAGAGAAAGATCTATACTCTGCTGGGGCAGCACACAAGTCACTAGAAACAGAGGGATAAAGAAAACATGGATTTGGTATTTTGACAGTTCTTGGCCAAGAGCCTGAGTGAAAAACTGCTTTTTGAAGTATGCCGTGTACTATCCTTTGAAGAACAGAGCTGAAATTCTGTTTTGAAACCTTAATCCCCCTCATTCAGTAGTTTCTCTGACCATTCTGCCAGTCTGCAAGTAACTCAGCTGGACTTCACTCCTAAAAAGTGAATCACAAAGCTGCCCTTGCAGCTGCTGGGATGGACCACAAGGATATGTGGGCTAGAATTTCTCTGGAGTACTCAAGAACAGTTTCCACGTTTATGACTAATGTATAGCAACTGAGGAAGCAGGTTTAGCTTCTTGGCTATGGTGTGTGGGCAGCAGAGCCAGAGAACAGTCAAAATATGTTGCTGGGAAGATGTAACCTTGCAGTGCTACTGTGAGGAAATGGAGCCACACAGGAGGCTCCCTGAAGTGAGTACCTGGGCTGTGTATAGGCTTGAAACCAGTGTTAAAATGTCATTTAGAAGTGGGTATTTTATTTTACTGGCGTAATTACAATAATATAATATAGCCCAGGGAGTGAACACAATTATACACTGATGGAAGTAATTTTGTCCTGAAACAAATGATTCCACTTTCGTTATCAGAGTATTCTATATAAATATAAATATTCTCATTGCTTTAGAGCTGCATTCAGAATAGGATGGGATTGTGCTTTTTATTTATTGACACCACTACAGTAGAACTTCTGCATTCAGACAGAATTGTGGTTTCTCTTGAAGTGCTTAGCTCACTTCGAGGCACTCTTGAAGTGCTCTGATATGAAACATCTTGCAAAAGCCAGAGTTGCTGTGCTGCAGTGGCACCTGGGGTTTTGGCTCCCATCTCCCCACCTCATTCCATTTGCTTTCAGACAACCAGACCATTCAGAGCATAAACATCCTCTGGTAAAAGGCTTTTTTCAGTTTCTCCACAGAGACTCTTCGAGGTAAAAACTCTGTTTCCTTCAGAGACAGTTCTACCTTTATGTGCTCCTGTAGACTGGCTCAGGAGAAGTCTTCATACAGCTGTTTTTTCCTCTCCATTCTCAGCCATCCCTGGGTTTATGGAAAGAACATGCAATGGGGCACAGAGTGTGAGAAGCCAGTGTGAGCTGAGGACTGGATGCTGAGCTCCTGAAATGGGTCTGGCTGCAGATGTACAACAGCACTTGTGAAAAAAAGCTTTAAAAAGATTCAGTGCCTCAGTCTGTTGGGAAGTGAATTGCCAGTAGATTGTCTGTGTTTTACTGAGACCTACAGTCCCCTTGTGCTTCAGAGCTAACTGTGCTGTGGGATGTTTGACCAAATGGGAAATGGATGGGCAATATCTGCTCCTGGAATCAGAGCAAACTCTATTCTTCTTGCATAATTTCAGTTCTAGAAAATTCAGCTCAGCTTTGGGAAAATGAAGCCATTTATTTGAGTGAAGTAGGTGAGTAATTATTTGCTCCTTCTACTGAGAATATAAAGAGAAAATGAAAACTGATCAGAGCTGTTGCCAGGCTAAGGAATTGCAAGTGAGGCAATCTGAAGAGCCAGGATGGTCAATAAAAGTAGATAACAGACAGGTTAGTAAAAGGTTTAACAGAAAGTTTAGTAAAAGGGTTATCACCTTCAATACGTCAGTTTTTATGACTGTCTTGAGTAAATGGGACCCACTGGTTGATTTTTATTTGTTTCAATTTCATGTAGTAAATTTTGCAAACTCTCCTAGTCAAGGATTATGTTGTGCTTGGAAAATTACTGTATGCCTGGTTTCTTTGGCCTTGAAAAGTCTTGCAAAGTCTTTCTTAAGGATTTGATCTCAATCCTAGAGGCATGAGGCTGATATCCCAAGACCAAAGTTATTTTGGGGAAATTAGTACAAACAAACTGTGTTTAGAAAAGAGACGGGCTAGCCTTATGGTATGTGAGGTTTTGTGAAACTTACTAATGATATTTTGGGGTTTTGCTATTGGTTCAAGTTTTTTCCTGTCATGCTAATTTGGAGTTTTGAAAGGAAATTTGCTGGGTACAAGTGATCTGCTCTGTCTGATGGAATTAAAGGTGGTTCCAGGTTTATTGCAGAACCAGGCTGCCCACCAGTGACCTGCACTGAGTGTCAGTGGGTTTTGAAATGAGGACATTCGTGTCTTCTTTTAGATGTGTGATTCCTCTCTCCCAAGCACACGCCTCACCTTGGCACTGTGGACTGTTACTGATTGATCAATACATCTGCTTCTCAGTGTGGTATTTTCCAGGTCCAAACAGAGCTGTTATTATCTACAGACCCAGTGCTTTTCAATTCCTATGTTGTAAATATCAGCTTAAAAAAAACCCTGAGATATAATAGTGTGTGCAAACTGAAAAGATGAATCAGGGCAGTATTTTGAGCTTCAAGTGCTTTTTGTATCTCTTATTTTGGGGTCTTTGTGACAAAGCATCTCACAGCTGGGTCTCAGCAAGCAGAGAGGAGGGGAAATGATTTGCAAAATGCAACAGAAAGCTTGTCTTACATCTATCACACATATTTAAAACAAATAGCTTCATCTTGTCTATGTGACCAAATCATCTCCCCCTTATTCCTGTCATTCTCTTGCAATGGCACTGGATATGGATTGTAGGTTGTAAAGCAGAGAAAACACAGCTGATCCAAGCCAGGGAGAATACAGAATACAGAAGAGATTCACCAAATCGACACAAAGCAAGTTAAGAACAGCCACTGAGCTCTTCTTTTGGTTTCCTGTCCAGTGCACTCTGCACTGACACGGCTCCTTTCTTATGGTGTCCTGGTATCTCAAAGGAATGACAGAGGTGCCAAATTGTTTTTACTTCAGGCCTTTAGCTGCAAAGATAAGAAGGTGCACAGTGTTTTTCTGCCTGTCATTGC